CCCACCCCCACCTCCACTCCCACTCTCAATTCCACTCCCACTCCCACTCTCTGTACATTTTTCACCGTGCTTTAATTACTTTTCGCTAATTTGATTTTGAATTAAAAAAATATTATTACATGTCCTTAGCAATTGAGTATTTCTTTTAGTTTAAATTTAAGTTAGAGATAAGTTTCAAAAACACATCTAAATTATCCCCTTTTATTAGTTTCATATCTAAACTATTGAGAGTGTGAGTTTCATACCTAAACTATCACGTTTTAGTTTGAGAAAGACACCTCAGTGGTGTGTGTGTAATGCACTCTTTCTTTTATTTGAAAAAAATTAGTCAACTCCCTAAATGGTCACCCAAGTCTAGAGAACTGCCTTGAAATATCATTTATGTTTCATTTCAGACCAAAATATCACTCAACTATCATTATTTTCCTTCAAATATACTTAACACTTCAAAAGTCTCACTCTCTCCTAGTTGGCATGCCATGTCATTGAAGCCTTTTTTTTTAAGAATAAACTTATTTAATTCATCAAACTCATTTAACTAAAATAATGATCTTATTTTTCATTATTATTTTTATAAAATATAATATTTTTCATTTTATTTTATAAAAGAAATATAATTTTTTTGGAAGTCAATTTTTAAAATTTTAATTTATTTAATTGTTTTCAAGGTTGAATGTTTTGTCAATGTGGAGTGTGATGTGAAATTTTTTTAAAATAAAAGAGAGTGTATTACATACACCATGATGAGAGTGGTATAAAGGAGAGAGGTGTGTTTCTCAAACTAAAAAGTGATAGTTTAGGTGTAAGAAACTCACACTCTCAATAGTTGGAGTCCTTCTGGGGCCCCTTAGGGTGGCCCGGGGAATCGTATTCAAACGTTTTGATCCTATAAACATATATTTACCTAATGTAAACCTTTTTACAAAATTATACCATCATACGACACTCCCAAACCTGCCCAAAACCTAAGGACACACTAGAACACATTCTTCTCTAGTTTTCGGAAGTCGTGGTCGTTTCTTGACGTTTATACTTTTACTTTTCCAAACCAATTCAATTGCATTAATTTAGATTTAGAAACATCAGTTTAACTATTTTTAAGTCATTAGTCACAAGGTGGGCTCTAACTTAAGTCATAGAATTTTCGGGGTGTTATAGGTTGAGTCTGGTACAATATGTGCCCAAGAAGAGCGGTAAGAATGAGAAGAATGAATTGATCCCTACACGGACAATAACTGGGTGTAATATCTGCATGGACTATAGCAAGTTGAATGATCCCACTAGGAAGGACCATTATTCTGTGTCGTTCATCGATCAGATGTTGGACAGATTGGCAGGACAAGAGTATTACTGCTTCTTGGATGGCTACTCAGGCTACAATAAGATAGTCATTGCACCAGAAGATCAGGAAAAGACAACTTTCACTTGTCTGTATGGTACCTATGAGTTCAAACGTATGTTATTCATATTATGCAATGCACCGGCTACATTCCATAATGCATGATGGCAATCTTCCATGATACGGTGGATGATTTTGTTGAAGGGTACATGGACGACTTCTCGATGTTTGGTGAGTCTTTTGACCTTTGCTTTACTAATATTGACAGGGTTCTTGCAAGGTGTGAAGAGATGAATCTGGTGTTGAATTGGGAAAAGTGACACTTCTTGGTTGGAGAAAGGATTGTAATGGGGCACAAAATCTCAAGAAATGGGCTGGAAATTGATTGAGCTAAGGTGTAGGTCATTGAGAAGTTGCCACCACCCATCATTGTGAAGGGAGTCTGAAGTTTTCTTGGACATGATGGGTTTTATAGAAGATTCATCAAGCACTTTTCTAATACTGCGAGACCCATGTGCATTTTATTAGAAAAGGAGGTGAAATTTGAATTTGATGAACATTGTCTACAGGCATTGGATTGTAACACCCCAAAATGTTAACCAAGAGTCGATTGTCGATACACCATTGCTTAATTACTACAATATGTTTTACTCTCATTTTGGGAACTTGAAATGTTGTGATATTTGCAAACTTGCTTAACACAAATTGTAATCGTAATTTAATGGGTTGCATTGGGGTATTTGTGTAATATTCTAGTTTGAATTATCTATAACTTGAAAGGGAGGCGAGGTATATACATATTGGTATATATGTATACTTTTGGGCAGCACACCTTTTACTTTTGGGCAGCCAACCTTTGACATTGGCTGTATCAAGTAAGTGATAAATATCACTTTTATAACATATAATCACACACCTCCTCTACAAGAATTCGTGTCCTTTAACTCTAAGAAACTTGTAGAACTTCTTCTAACCATATTACTCACAAAATTTCAATAAAATCTTGGTCCTTTTAGCTGGAATTCGATATACACCCTTCTCTTTGGTGATTAGTCGAAATCTGTTTTTGAGCTGAGTAGTGTTTATTACTTTTAGAATATCTCGTTCTCTAGAACTCCTATTTCAGTGAATAAATATTATTTGGAAAGATAATTCATATACCTACAACTCTTATGTTTCTGTACAACTCTAATTTAGCTTTTATGGATTCGAAATATGGGACGCAACTTATGACAAGTTCTGTCCAGATTCCAGAATTTGAAATCCTGTATGTTCAACTGTTAGTGTTTTGATTATATCTTTTTGTACAAAATGTATTCTGCGGTGATTCTTGATTATTTTCAAGCTTAAGAGATGTACCTACATCTTTTATGAAGAATATAAAGTCCAGTTTTGCCGTTTCTATTTCGAATCTAAGTTGCGACATGAAGTACTTTGTTGGCCAAAATTACTATTTTGGGAGCATAGTTGTATTTGTACAGGCTAGGCTTACTTTTGATGATAACCTTGTCTTAAGTCATCAATATTGAGCTACTAGAACGTAAATAAGTTATTAAATACATTTTTTTAAGGTTGTATATACTCGTGAACAAGTTGAAGACCTTGACACGCTGGTTGGTCTACGGTTTGAACTCTTGAAGTTGTGTTGGACTGTTTATGTGCTAAAGAACTAAGGTTTGTGTATAAACTTATATTGTACTCTTTTTACCTGCTGGTATATCTGAAAGTTTATTTTGGAACCTTGGTTACCTCTTGTCACTTTGCATTGTCGCGTTGGTATCCTTTAATATAGTAAAGACACTTGTATTACTCGCCCACTTGCACGGATTGTTTGATCACCTGGCACCCTTGTTGGGACCCTGTCCTTCTTGTGGTTGCGACTTTGTCACTATTGGCATGCCTCTTGATTCGGATCATTTGTCATCTTGACTCTGGATTTTTAGCCCGTCTTTAGAATGGAAGTTGTCCATTTTAAGTACGAACTAGAAATACATTTTTAATATGGTTCTTGGTTGTCTTGATTATTGGGCTTTGACCCTTCTTGATATAGGGCGTCGGCCATTCTTGATACCTTGTTGTGCTTGGTGTGACGACATGATGTATTGGGTGAGCCTTGTTATTGAATCTCTTGGAAAATGGTTCTATGAGCGTTCTTGGCATTAGGATCTTTAAATATCAAACTTGATACTCTTTATATATTGTTTACTCGATTTGTTTGTTACGTTTCAATTGTGCTGCCTATGACTTGAGAAAGGTAGCTTAGTGAATCTGAAGGCTCCGAACCTATAGTTTTTACACCACTAAGCTATATGCTTAGCGATAGTTGTTTCTATCATAGGGAATGATCGAGAGGAGACATGAAGCTGGCCATTGGAGATGGAGATTTTGAGAGCCTTAAGGAAGATCACATTTGCATATAGGCATCTATATTTTGTATAAACCTTGGGACTTATACATGATCTATGTGTTGTATATTTACATGAAATTTTGAGGGCTAATTTGATCAAGTCACCATGGGTTGTAATATAAGTATGGCTATATGTTTTGTTCTTTTGGGGTGTGTAAGCCCAAGTCTTGTAATATATTAAATTTACCACTTGTTTTGAATGGTTGTGTGAAGCATGAACCACCTAATTTTGGTACTCGGAAGTTGGTAATATTCTTTTATATCATTTTGCAGTATGAGGATAATATATGCATAAAAATCTCGTGAGTTATTGGCTTATATTATTTTCGAAGGGTTTTTCCACCATTAGTTAAAATTCTGCGCAATATCAATTTGACATCAAATAAATGTTTAAATGGGCAGGATGCACATCCTTAACTATTTCTTATTCTTTCTTTATGAACCTAATCCCTCTACTAAATTATAATCAATATGTCCATAGTTAATATCTTTTAAATGTCGCAAGTATTTAATTAGATTTCTTGTTTAAGTGGTAGTATCCTTTTGAAAGGGTCGCTACAAGTATTGGTATCAGAGCCTAGGTTTGCGGTTCTAGGACTTTTGTTGTGAATTACTTGTATACTTGTTCGCTTCCGAAAAATGTTCTACATAGATTATTTGTTTACTTACATGGTTTATAATATTTTTATCGCATGTGGAGTGCATATATATCAAGTACATGTCCCTAATGCAATGTGATCTTCCCTTTTGAAGGAGTTAAGTTATTGCCTCCTCTTCTGACCGACCTATGGATGCTGCTCGTGAAGGGTCGGGTACCTCTGTTTCCCAACCTCATGCACTGGAAGAGGTTGGAGAACATTTCTCGAATCAATATGTTCCCCACACTAGTGGGTCTGAAGTGGGAAACCATCAGGCTGTAAGAGTTGGTTCACATCCTCACATGAGTCGTGGTACTCAAGCCATGAATCCTCCTTTTCAACAAATGGCTGAATTCTTCCACCACATGGCTAAATCGATGAATGATCCCAACAAGATTAACTTTGAGAAAAATGAGGAAAATGGGTGGAGTGGAGTTTGAAGGTACTGTTGATCCCACGGATACTGAACAATGGCTAGAGAGCATGGAGAGGGTATTTAAGCAATTGGAGTGTTCAGATGTTGCCAAATTTAAGTATTCTATTTCACTATTACAAAAGGTTGCTTATGATTGGTGGGTAAGTGTTCTGAATGCCAAGGTAAAACATCCTGTTCTTACTTCGGATGATTTTCTTAAGGAATTTCATATGAAGTATGTCCCACCTGTTTATTCTGATGCAAAGAAAAAAGAGTTTTTGAATCTAAGGCAACGAGGCATGTCTATTGTTGAGTACCAACAACAGTTTATAAGGCTCTCTCGTTAGGCTGGAGGTATTATTAAAGAGGAAAAAGACAAGTGCAGGAAATTTGAAGACGGTTTAAATGATTCCATT